CGACGCCGAACGGCCGCGGTTGGTGTTCTTTCTTTCTGTTTTTTTGGGCATTTTTGCAAAAAGGGAGAAAGAGTTTTTTTCCTTTATTTATAAAAATAGAAATACTATGTAATACATGCATTAATTTTCTATTTTTAGTATAACTTGTATACATAACTTTTAGTCTAAATTTTATACACTGATTTGAATTAACTTATAAATTATTTATAGTTACATTTTTTTTATCATATATCTAAATTTTACTTAATACAAAAAAATTACATAGAGTATGCTAGCAAAAAGGATATTCTTTTAATTAAAAGATATTATAAAATAGTTAAAATACTAATATAATTATCAAATTTATCTATAACTATTATTATATTTACTAATATAATATTTTACTTCATATTCATGATAATCAAGATAGTAGAAGGGTATTTATATATAGTATTCTAATTATAGATATGATAACATATTTTAAAGCTAAATGTTTATTAACAGTTTAAAAATCTGAATTGAAATTAAAAAAATATATAAGGGTTACTCTAACTCTTTTATATAATTAATATTATTAATAACTAATAGTGATATTTTATTTTAAGACACATTTTCATAAAAGATACAAAAGTATAATTTAACTATATATATTATTAATTTTTATAGTTTTAAAAGCTTACCTTTGATCAAAGTATTCAAAAAAATTAATAAATAAGATTTAATATATAGGATCTTTGCAATAGAAAAGAAGAAAATAGCTAAAAAAATAAAAAATGAATTAGTGTTAAATTTGAACATATTTTGACCTAAAAATCATATTTGATATATAAAAGTAAAATTGATCTATTCTGGCAATTTTCCCTTTTTCTATTGCAAAGGTTCTATATTATCAAAAGATAATTAGCTAAAAAGGAGTAATTAAGGTAATTAAGATTATAAAATAATATTCTTAAGAAATATATTGATTTTATGAATAATAGTAAGACTTGTCTTATTAGAATATTATCAGCTTATACTATGACTTTAAAAAGTTAAATCAAAATTTTCTAATAAAGATAAATAAGTAATTAGAAAATATGAAAAGATAAGTTAAAATAGAGTATAGCAGTTAGATTTTTATTAAAACTAGATGAGCTAAAAAGTGATTACAAATACAAGCAATTAATTTATACTAATAATTATACATTTATAAGATCAAAAAAATTATTATTAGAAGAAATTTACTACAATTAGTCTTATATTATTTTTGAAGATAAATCTATTATCAACTATTCTTCTGATAAAATGAAATCTAAAAAAATCTTTTAAATATGAGAACTTTAAGAAATCTGATAAAATTGAATATTTACCCAGTACTTAAAATAGAATTTGAGTTTTATCGGCTAAGGATCTAGGATAAAAATATTTTACCAGCTAAAGATCTAGAATGAAAATATTTTACCAGATTTTTTCAGAATATTATAAAATTTACCAGCTAAATAAATATTTTAAGTAAAAGTAAAACAAAATATTTATATATTCTTTATTAAAAAAAATTTAAATTCTTCTTTTACATGTTCCATTCTAAATTTGTAATGCTCTAGTAAAATCAAATTTAAATAAATCTTTTTCTTCTAAACCAACCATCATCTAAAAATGTAATATTTTATTATTTAAAGAATTTCGCAAATCAGTTTTTATCAAATTTTGCTTTGAAAATTTATACTTACAATCAACTGATAAAATGGAATAGAATATATAATTCCTAATAATTTGATAATATTTGGAAAAGTATCATAATAAAATTTAAATAATCTTAGAAGTAATACTTCAATTTTTATATTTTTAAAATTTGAATATACTATTGCTTTATATCCAAACCATTCTTCACAAAAATTATTGACTTTTTTTTTATAAAATTCTGATAAAATATTTAACTCTTCTTCCCCATATTTTGCAAGCGCTTCTTTACTATTTGACCAATTTGTATGATCAAGTATTTTTATTGAATTAAGTAAAGGTCTATCAGGAAATCTTTCTTGAATTTCTGAAACAACAAAAGATTGAATATCAACAACTAATTCTACTTCATAATGTTCGTTCCATGTTAATTGATGTGCATCAATATTATAATTTTCTCCTAATGATACATTTGATAAAAATCTATTTAAATTTTCTCCTAATAATAATCTTCCTTCATTATTAAAATCCAAAAATTTCTGCTGAATTGCAGGCTAAAGTTAGCCTATGTATAATGCAATGTGTTATAAATAAATACTCATTTCTTTTTTTAATTCTTGATGCTATTTCTGTTGATTTTCCTAACATAATACTTGCTCCATCTGAAGTAAATGACATAAGTTTATTTGTTAAACCTTTAAAAAAAAATTGTATTAATTATATAATTAATAAAACAAATAAACTACATATTAAGATTACTAACTTAATACCTTTTTTATCAAATAAATTAATAATTGCTTCAAAAATAGTTTTTGAATCTTTACTTTTTAATTGAAGTAATTTTAAAAAACAGATTTTAATCTTTCTACACAAACAATATTTAATATATATAATAAGATGAGATTCACATGAAATATCTGTACTTTCATCAACTATAATACTAAATGCAATAATTTTATTTAATTCTTTTCAGATAGTTTTCTCTATTGAAATTGAAATAACAAATAAAATTTCACGTCCAGATACATTATTTTCATAATTAATTGTACTAAAAGCTGATATTAATTGAGAACATCTAAGAATTCTATAAAGTTTTACAATTTCAGATAACTTGTTTAACGAAATATCATTTTTTGTTAGCCAAAAAATTATTTTCATTAAAGAACCAATATGATTTTGAGTCTTATCTATAGAATTATTTGAAACTCTAATAAATTTCACCCTTGATATCTCAAGGTTTATTGCATCAGTATAATCTTTTGTTAAAGCATATTCTGATAAAGCAGAAGTTTTAAAATTTTTTGAATCTAATTTAAATCATTTTCGATTATTAATGTAATTATAAATTAAATAAAATAATAAAATAAAAATTATATTATCTTCTTTTTCAAATTTATTCAATTTTTATAGCTTTTGCATAATGAGCAAAATATTAGATTTTTTGAATTATTATATATTAGCCATTTGTAAATTTCTAATCATTCTTCTTAAAAAACTTCAGTCTTCTTTTTCATTAAAAGACGTATCTTTTTCTTTTTAAAATTTAAATTTTTTTGTAATTTTTTATTAATATTAGTATGAGTTTCTTTTAAATCTGAATCTATAACATTAAACTCATTATCGTTAATTTTATTTATATTTTCATTAGAATTTTTTTTTAAAATATTATTCAATAGACATTTTGTTCAAACAATCGAAAAAATTTGATTATCAAATTTATCAAATGATAATTTATTTATGCCGATATGTAAAAAAATTTGCCAGACAAAAATCCATCAATCATAAAAATTTTCTGGAAAAAAATCCATTACAAAAAAATTTTATTGGGAATTTTTTAAAAATTTCAGATTTTGCCAGAATTTAAAGTACTATTTTAAGCACTACTACTAATACTGGATTATTATTTGCTTTTACAATAACTTTATAGTCATCAGGCATTATTTCCTCAAACTTAAACTTTTTTTTAATTCAATTTTGTGTATTTTTATTGCAAATAATATGATCTTTTGGGTTTAATAACACATTTTTAATTTTATCTAAAAATTCAAGATTAATTAAAGCCTTTTTTTATTTAGAAATTAGAAAGCTTATTATATAACGCTCAATTATTTCATTAAAAGTATATTTGCTAATAAAAGTATATTCCATTATGAGATGTATAATATAATATTCTAAAAAATATGTGCTTTAAAAAACTATAATACGATATTCAATTTTAAACATATTTTTTTTCTTTATTTTATTTTAAAAAAAATGCATATTTACTATAATAGACTAGATTATCTCAGATTACAGCTACAGTATCTCAGATGATCATTGATTCAAATCATACATCTCACCTGATGATTGTAATCTGAGATGCATCAATTATAATCTGAGGCATATATAAACAAATTGAAAATTGAGAATTAAAATTATTAAAATGCAAAAAAATGCAAAAATGTAAAAAAAAACTAAACAAATAATCAACATAAATTTTTATTAAAAAATAATAATAAACTACATTTTGTCTTATAAATAACCTAGACCCTCAAAAAAGAAATTTTCAACGAGTTTTGATTCATGCAATTTACGTTTTATATTTATATATTTATTTATATATATATATTGACTACTTTTTTTTATTAAAAACTTACGTGTTTTTTTACAAAATATTTTTTAAAATGAATAGCAATAATAATGAAAGAATATTCTGAAGAACTACATATTAATAAGTGTTTTCTAATGGTAAGTAATTTAAATAATTATATATTTAATATCAGTTTTTAATTTATTTTTTTATATAATTTCAGCACATTCAACATTTTCTCGTTTTTAATGAATAAAATGTTAAAAATTAAACAATATTTTTAACCAAATAAATTATAATTAATGAGTTACATTAAGAGTTTAAAGTAAGGGATCTAGTTACAATATATATTTTATGATAGATTTTCTTATTTTTACTGATTAACCTTTATTAAAATTTTTTCTTTACAAAAAAATTATTATAATTAAGTCATTTTTCTTTATAAAAGAATAAAAATATATTATCTCATTTACTGATTTTGAGGTGAAAGAAATTAAATCAGGAAAAATTTATCTTTTTAACAAATATTAAAGTTATGTAACTATTGGTTAATTATTTAATAAATCAAGTATTATTAAAGTTCTTATCAAACTAATATTACAATAACCTATCAAGTCCAACCAGTCTAACCAATTCAGCTAATCAAAAAGTATTAGAATTAAATCAAAGACATTTAACAGAGATAAATACTGGAATTTTCATAGAATTATAAGGTGAAAATACTGTATCTTGCTTAACATCTATTTTACTATGGGAATTATCTGATTAATCTATTATTTTTTTTGTTATTTACCACAATTAGAACACTTTATATTAATCTTATCAGAAGTGCTTATTATGATGCTACTTCAATAAATTTATCACCTTTTAATCATGATCAAGCAGTAACAACTAATGATATATCAAATTCTTAACGTTAATTATCATTTAAAAATATCTAATATATATATAAAACAGAAGAACTAATAGACGCTAAGAGAGAAAGTAAATAAGACTTATGTCAACTGTATTAGTAAATAAGGAGATATATAATTTAGATAGTACAGGAGATTAAAATTATCATGGTTAGAATCAGAATAATGGTAATATTACTCAATACAATAATAATAAGATGATCAAAATTATGATGAAAAAGCAATCTGTCATAATACATTTACTTCAGAATATCCAAATCATTATAAAATGAATATACTAATAGAAATTTTCCTAGTGATGATAAAAATACACGTCAATATTTGACTACCATGATTTTGCTAGACCTTTAGAAAAATAAAAAAGTAGATGTTTTCTTGGTCAATTTACTATATTAGTTTAAGCATTACTGCATTTTTTGTTTAGCTTTGTAAACTTAATATTAATGTTAAAGAAGCTATACCTATAACACAACCACACTCAGTATAAATTCTCCTTAATATGAGCTTTAATATGATCGCTAAAATGGATAATCATGCAAATTAAGTTTCATATAAATTCAATAAAATGATGTTATATTATAGTAAGTTGAAATTATTTTAAACCATATTTTTGGATGAAAATCATCAATAATTTTGTTTTTATTAACATTTTTCTTTTCAAACTTTAGGTATTTAATAGAACTGCTAACAACAATAAATCTATTGCTACTGATTCCAAACTTAAGTACACTTACAACTAAATTCTATTAATATTTTACCGCTTGTATCTCCTTTAAGACTTAGAGTTAATATTAAATTATTTATCTGAAGCATTGATTGGATTTACAAACCAAAAATTTCTGTTCTTATACCTAAAATGTCCTGTATCTAATTATATTTTATATAAATCAGAAACTTGTCTAGTGTTAGTTTAGTTATTTAATTTTTGTCTATATATATATTTATTTTTATTTATTTGCTTTTGTAAAAATAACTTTTATTATTATTTTAGACTAATTATTAATCTATTTACCTATTATTTTACGTTAAAAAGATTAGTTAATAATTTCAAAGATTTATGAATACAAATTATGTCAAATGCATATATATATAATTATTACCTATTAATATATGAAATATTTTATTGATATTATATCATAAAAATTAAAGTTTTACCAGATTAGATGCATAATTTATCATTAAATCCTTTTAAATTCAGACGAAAAATCATATTAAGTTAAAAATGATGATATTTAAATATTACCTTAAAATGTTAAATTTACGTAATAAAATAATCATAATAGATTGGCAGTAAAATAAATAAATTAGGACTAGTCTAGCAAAAACTGGGATTCAGCTAAAATTTTAATTTTAAAATTTACATATTTATTGATCTAATTTTTCAGAAAATAAAAAAATTTATATATAGCATATTAAAAAAAATATAATATTTTATAATTTATAATTATTATATTTTTTTTATTATTATATTTAATGAATGAAATAAACTTGCTAAAGAAAAACTAATGCTTTTAATAAATTCCTTGCAAAATTTTACTTTAGTTTACAAAAAATCAATTTTAAAAATCTTTAAAAATGACAGTTTACTAAATTGACTAATAATTTAAACTACGATTTTTTTGAAATTATGTGATTTGCCAAATCTCAGCTTTTGCTAGACTGCTCAAATATTGACTCAAATAAAGAGCGAGAGGGAATCTTATATATGAACTTTTAGGTAGAATTAAAAATTTTTATTAAGTGATCTACCCAATACTTTTTCTATTAATTTTACCCTTATATAATATAAAGTTTAATTTTTTTATTATATATTATTAATGTGACATTTAAATTTTATTTGTATTAAAATTCATTTATATTTTTATTATTTTGATTACAAAAATTGAAAAAGTTAGTCACAAATTTTAGAATTATTAAAAAGATTATAAATTTGTAAAGTTTCTTTCATTAAAGTAAGCATAATTATTTTAAAAGGTAATAGTATCTGATTTTTTAAAGTAATATACTATTTTTTTTAGAAATAATATGTGTAAATAACCTTTCACCTATATGGCAATTATTTGTAAAAACGATTTATTATAAACTTTGATAAATATAGATACTGATATATATGATATTTCATCAATATTTATAATACTACATAAAATATATCTATGCTTTTCACTAATACATTCATATA